TTTTTTTTAAATAAATTTAATTTTGTTTAAATTATGAACAGCATATCCTCTAACCACTTATAAATATGCAAACATTTAAGGTGAATAAATAGGGCCCTCATAGCAGCCATAGTGCCACTTTGTAACGCCGCCCTTCGCATATACATATGCAAATACATACATATGTAAATTTATATATGCACACACATACATACATACGCTGCGCCAATGAAGGATATATACAGAGGCATATTAAGTGCCTCGGCAGCTTTGCTTTTGCCATTGAAAGAGGCGTGAGTGCGAGATTTTTTCTTTCAATTTTATTTTTCCTGCACACACGCACATTTTAAGTATACATTATATRTACATATGTGGGTGCTGCTGAGTGCGCTTTGGTTTTTGAGTCAACGTTGACCTTTTGACATTAATTAATTTGTGCAAAAAACGCTGRCACGGCACAAGTGCGCACGGCGTCGCTGCTGCTCGATTGGGGTAATGGCAAAATTTTAATTGAATTTTTTAGCACTGTGGCTGGAGTGACTCGGAAAGGTGCTTGAAAATGCAGATGAAAAAGGTGAAAGAACGTCAGCGAAATTAAATGTGTGTGCGTGAAGTTTGGAAAGACAATATCATATGATTTACTTGCAGATAAAGTAACTGAAATGAAATTCATAAAGACAAAGCAAAACAATAATAAAGGGAACAATAATTTAGGCCTTTCGGAGGAGGAGTCGAAAAGGAATTTTCGTATTTCTGCTCGAAATTACGACTGCAACGACATCTGTTGAWAAAATACGAAAACACATTTTCGACTACCCAATATATTGGTTATTACATTCATACTTTATACACAAGCACAGCAACTCATTAAAGATGCAGTTAAATTGATAAACTGTCGAAATAACTGGGCCTTCACTTCATTACCGTAAGCGAAATGCTTCGGAGATTTGCGAAATCTGGCCACAGGAAAACAAGCAGAATTTTAGCAATGCACAGCATCACACATTGAATAAATAAACTACGCCCCCCCACCCGCTTACAATCTACTGTTAAAATATTAGCAATCGGTGCGCACTCACCTGCCGGCTGTATGTGATACCAACAGGGCTCGCTGTGGCCCATCGCATTGCTGGCCACGCACGAGATCGCGCCGAAACTATCGTACGAATCAATGTGGTAGCTGTAGATGTTGTTCAGCGGTGGCGCCGCTGGTGGCTGCGTGGTCATCGACACACCGGCCATTGGACGATGATGTTGTTTTTTGTGCAGCGCTGCCGTGAGTCGTTTGCGTTCGGCCAACTGAAATTGATTGCCATGTGGGAGCATGTCATGAGCGCCGCCACCCAGCAGCCCACCACCACCGCCGATGCCGCCAGCCATGCGGCCTTGTTGCTGATGTTGGTGCGCCAAAAATTGCTGCTGTTGCTGTTGTTGTGGATGTGTGTGCTGTGCGTGTTGCGGCTGCAGCAGTTGTTGCTGTTGTTGTCGGTTATCTAAATGATTTTTATAAATCATATTCGAATAAACCATTTGGGTGCGGGGCACGCTTGCRAYCRCATCGTCGCCRAGCTCCGCATCCTCCTCATYRTCGTTGTTGTTGTTAGTGTTTTCTATAAATTCACCATCATCRTACTCATCGACATATTGGTGGGGCGGCATTTGCTGTTCGTCGACATCTTCGAAACGAATGTTGGACCATGCGCTTCCGGCGACGTTGCCGCTGCCCAATACACTGGCGGCCGCCGCAACACGTCCATGCCGGCCGAGTAGAAATTTTTGCGCATGACCATGCTTCCGCTTGCTACGCTGATAATATCCGCCGGATGTGTGCCCTCCAGCTGCACCACCAACATCCGGATACAGCAGTAGCGGCATAGYGGCCGGCGCCGTCGCCAACGTTGCGGGCAATTCGATGAGCCTCTCTAGTGAATTGTTGAAATGCCATCTGTAATTTAGATTATCAAGTGGATTCGAGTCCACTTGACACGTAATGTTGATGGTCTGCTTGAGGGCGGCGCGTATGGTCGTCGACTCGGCTTTGCATACGGGCGGATCTGCGGGCGAAACACATCACAGAGTTGATTAGATCGTGGGTTGAATTGCGTTGCGTTTGCGGCATAATTTTAAATATTTGCATACAGTCACGTGTCTAATTGATTGTAATGACTAGCTTAGGGGCATAAACGTGATTGTAAAATACAAAATAATGAGGGATAAAGTACATAAACAGGGGGTTACGTTCAGTTATGTGGGTTTTTAGTTGAGTGAGTGCAACAGAAAACATAGTCGGTAAGGAAAATTATTTTGATATTGGTATTCAAGTATTTGCTAACATTTGTATRTCTGGTATTTTAGGTAAGGTTGAAATAATCGAGGAAGTCAACTCAACCGAACACCTTCATGAACACGGTAACCTGTACGCCAGTTACCATTTCATCTCACTTACATTTCACATCCAAATAGACTTCATTGCTGGACACGCTCCCTTGTATATTTGTGGCACGACAGAAGTACTGGCCGTGTGATATTTTCGAGATTCCTTGCAGCACGAGCGTCTGATTGGAGATAATAACGCCGCGTGAGAGATGCAGCTGTTTGTCCTGGAAGTAAATTAATATATAAATATTTTAATGGAAATCATATATTAAGAGTATTTATATTATCACAGAGTTCCTAGTGTTTCACGACCTCAACTACTTCCAATTCAATTTCTTTTAATAATAATTGGATTTGTCTCTAGTGAGGGCCTGTTTCTTGTAAATCAGGCTTCCCAACGCAAACCAAAATGTCACGCATATGCGCATATTTCAATATGTCATGGGAGGAGCTCCTAATGAAAATCCATTGAAGACATGTTTTTACCTATTTTTGGTAAAAACCCCTCCAGATGCCTTAACCTTGGAGTTTGGTGTAGAAAGCTCTTATATCATTACTGACACATATTCGAACTGGGGTATAAGTCGGAATGCAGAGAAAAGAAAAAGGAACTATACGAAAACTAGAAAGAAAATGGTAAAAAGGTATAGTGAAACTGAAATAAATGAGCTTTTAAGAGGTCACTGCTCAACCATATTAACCCAGACTGGGTGAACTATTTTTTATGCTGTGTGTGTCATTTACATTTTGTCATATTTCAAACACTTTGAAGCGTAAAATATCCATTTCGTACTTAAATCCTTGTCAAAGTCACTAGCGAGCACCGCAGAAAGGACATCGACTCCTTTCTTCCATTACCAACAGCACTTTGCACAAATATATTTATGTATATATAAACAGCTTAGGATTGTTGCTGATGGATTGATGGATTAAAGGCATAGAAACTGGGTGAAATATTAGAAAAAATGCAGGCCACKGGAGGCATTGCTACTGGCAGTGAAACCCTTTTCAAGTTACCCACAAGCTACACAGACCCAACACCTGTCATGTAACGGTTACTTAGCTCAATGACCATGGCCAGTAATGTATGCTGTCAACGAGTGAAACGTGGTGCAAAAGACGGTTGCAAAGTGAGTGGCAGCAGTAGAGGAAAATGGGCAGAGCACACGCCAAATATCATCAACGCCCGGGTGTAATGCTTTTTTTGCAACATTAAAAGTGAAGTAAGCGAAGGCCGGGTTGTGTGCGGTACTTGCTGCTGTTGAAAGAGTATGGTAATCTCCATTTATACCCACAAAACAAATTGCTTTCCATTCAATTTCTTCGAATTAGCGTGACAATGTCTGCTGCAATATAGTATACATATATAGGGTATGCATGTATGTCCATGAGCATAAACAACACACATCCATCTAGCGGATGAGCACTGCACCCTAATCCAGTTGCGACTTTTTGTAGCGACTTCTTCCGCTCCTACCGCAAACACTGAAGTGCTGACGCTTCAAGTGCGGTGAAGTATGCGAGTGGAGGAAGGCGAGTGATGGCGAAAGCAATCAGCAACATTCAGCGGCGAGCACGAATGTAGGGCTGAGGCATTTGAAAGTAGCGAAGTAGTGTGGCTCGGGCAAAACAAGCGTGGCAAGAGAGCAGGCAAGTAATGGCGACAAAAAGACAGTTGCGAGTCGCAAAAACCAAAAGGAGTACGAAAAAAGCTGAAAGGGTAACCAAGCATAGCACTCGGTGATGGATGTGCAAGCCAGTACAACAAAAACTATACGCTGCAGGATAACAAACCATTGGCAATGCACAACTGTATATTAACTGCATAGTATGCGGAGTAATCCGTATATGTTTGCCTGCCTGCCTGCGGAGGCGAAGTCATATTGGTGCGAGACAACCACGACGCCGTGTTGGCGGCTGAAAATCGAAGAAAATGTCAAACAAAAAATAAATGCAACACCGACTCGATCAGTGGAAAAACAAAGAGGGCAAACAGGGAAGATCAAATAGGCGAGCAGGCGAGTAGTCAAGCATCCTTCAAGCTGGCGAAAGCTGCAAAAGCAGTGGGCGTGCGAAGATGGCGCAGAAGGAGCAAGTGCATGCATGTGTGCCTTGGGTTTGGGGCAGTCGCCCGGCACGTCAGCTGAGTGCCTTTATTTATTACTTATTTATATGCGAGCGCGCTGCTGCATTGCATTATTTGCGAAGAGTAATGCAAATACCGGCAGCATAAGAAATGATAATAATAAATCTTAAAAATGTGCAACAACAACAAATGCATTTGCACCWCCTGCTGTGTGACTGTCTGCTGGCKCGCTTGTATGCTGCACATAAACTGTTTACAGGCAAACAAATACGCATTAAAGTGTGAGTCTACGCGGGRGGAGCACAAGCGGAGAGCTGCACATTTTTATGTTTATTGAGGAATTTTTAAAACATTTCTTCTTTCTCAATTCCATTTTCATGTGATTTCCTTGCTTATTTGCCATCAGTCTCCGGCTGAGTGGCTGTCTGACTAGTCGTTGCTACAAGCGCATAGGTGAGGCATAGCACAAATGCACYCACACAMATACACACCTGCTGATGCCTCATATAGATGGCTTTGATGAGTTTACAGATGAAATGATGTTTCCACATGCTGAGTGCCTCGGAGTGGTAAACAGGTACTTAAATATTTGCACTGCTACAAATTGGGGTAAGTGCGTGTAGCAGCATACATACATACATACGAGTACTATRCATATAAGTAGATGCATTAAAGGTGGTTGATATGTGTGAATATGCAGGCGAGTGCTTTACATAGCTAACGTATAAACGAATACTTAAGAAGCATTAGTAGAAAATTAGGAGTCCATGAGAAAAATATGCCATATGATCAAAATTGAACCGGGCCGGTCGACTTAGGCTATATATAACCTTTAACTT